TTGGAAGCAAAGGACTCTTTGTTCTTATTTTACCCATTCATTTCCTTCCCTTTCACTTCCTTTCCATGTCCACTCCCTAGAAACCCCACTGTCTCTATTACTAAATTCTAAATAGAATCACTTGGAAGAAAGGGGATATTTTGTCAAGGTCTCTCGTTGTTTCATTTGTAGGCAGTGCCCTCCCTCCTACTTGTCCCCTTTAATCTTTTCTGTTCTCCCTGGCCTGGGCCTTTGTCCTCCACTCCAGCCTCGCAGTGCTCTGGGTTCCTTAAGATGCTAATCACAGCCAGTTTTCTTCTTGCGCCAAGAATATTTCTATTTATCAAGCTGCAGCAGGCTTTGCCTTTGGGAGGGACACATACAAGGGCAGGAACACTTTCCATTCCTCAGGGCTGTTTCTTTTTTACATATCCCATTTCAATTCCAGGGTTTTTTTTTTTTTTTTTTTTTCCATTTCTCTTTTTTTCTTGATTCCCCTTTATGTCTTGCGCTGCTTTCTGAATTCACTGGTTACCTCAGCACTGTCTCCTTTCAGCACTGAATGCAGACCTGCTCTGGCCCTGATCTCTTGCAGAATGATTGACTCTTAAATTAGAAAGGAGATTCTGGTTTATTTAAACCCATCAAGGTGGTATCGTCAAGGTGCTTCAATTCTGTCTGTCTCCATTTGGGTTTCTCAGAAGTAAATCCAAGACAGAGATTTTAGTCCAAGCAGTTTATGTAGGAGGAGACAGGAATACCAGTAGGAAAGGGGGGCTGTATGACAGGGAAGAGAAAGCAGCTTATTAAGGGTGAGTTTTCAAGCCCATTAGGATTGCAGGTAGCTCATCCTCATCCCTATGGGAACTCCGGAAGGAACTTCAGGGGAACGGTGAAGAAGCTGGGGTATTTCGTGGTGGAGGGCTTCTCCTGGGGTTATTAACCCTTCAGGATTTGCAGGCTGCCTGTGTCTGGGCAGGGGATCCTTTCTCAGCTTTGGAGAAAGTCCTCAGTCTAAGAGATGCAGGCAGGGCAGGGCTAGGGTGAAACAAGCTCAGAGCCTCAGCCATAGGCTTTAAGGAGGAGCTTGCTCCCAGAATTGTGCCCATGCAGGGTCAACAGCTGAGCGTGGGCATCTCCCTGCATGTTTCACCCTCATCCTGGCCCTGCACACCCACCCTACCAGCTGCGTGCTGCTCACAGTGAGGCCGTGGGAAGTAGGTGGGACACTGATGGCATCTTCTGCAGTCCCAGCGCTGGAGTTCTCATTGCCTTCATTTTTCCTGACTTCCTGGATCCTGCCTTCTCAGAAGCAGCTTGCAGAAGGGTTAGATTGTTCTTGTCCTTCTCTCTCTTGTGTCCCATCTTGCCACTGTCTTCATTCAGGCTCAATATCTTCTTCCTTACTGGAATATCATTGGTCCAAGTGCCACTGGGCCCAGCTTTCTTCACCCCTCCTTTCTGGGTGTTCTCTATCATAGTTGGGAAGCAGAGAGAAGAGACCACTGCTCATGCCCTTCAGAGACTCTCCCACATTCAGTTCCTATTTACTGGGTACTAACCATAGGCCAGGTTTGGGGAAACCAAAGTGGAAGGGAGTGGTGGTCCTGCTGTCATGGAGCATCTATTCTAGCGATGGAGATGGCCATCAACATTCCTCCAAATGCCTGTCAAGCCACAGTCATGACAAGGGCTAAGAAGACATATATAGTGCTCTAGGAGTGAATAGTGGGACTCTGAACATATTCGAAGGATCAGAAGAATTCCCTAAGCAAGGGATGACTGAGCTGAGATCTGAAGAATACATGGACCTTCACAGGTCACAGAGAGGAAGGAAGAGAACTTTAATAGAACAGAATGTGCAAAGGCCCTGTGACATAGAAGGGCATGGGGAGCTCAAGGAACTGAAGGAAAGCCAGTGTGGCTTCAGGGGAGAGGCTGTGATAGAGAGGGTATCGTGTGAAATAAGACTGAAAAGACGGCTGAGGGCCTTTCCATAAGGAAAACCGAAAAGTGAAGGGAAATCATTCGAAGGGTTTTTAGTGGGAAAATGACATCATCCAATTCATGTTTCAAAGAAGTTTTTCTGGCTTCTATCAGGGATCAGACAGGCAAAAAGTTGGGGCCAAATTAGCTGTGGAGTAACCAGAAAGGAGGCTGGGCAGCGCCAAGTGAGAGCGGATGACGATCTGGGCCAGGCTGCTGCAGTGGCAATCCAGGGGAGATACAGAGCATGCCTTCTGACCTCAGGCCCCCCTAGGCTTGGGCCTGGATAGGTAGCCCAGCCTGGGTATCCTTGTCTCTCAAGGATTCAGGGTCCCTTCACTGTGCTCTAGTCATTTCCCCTTCTCCTTCCCTCCTTTCTTCCTTCCTTCTCTCTTTCTTTTTCTTTGTTTTTCCTTTTTTTTTGAGGCAGAGTCTCACTCTGTCACTCAGGCTGTAATGCAGTGGTGCAATCATGGCTCACTGCAGCCTTCACCTTCTGGACTCAAGCAATCCCCCCACCTCAGCCCTCTGAGTAGCTAGGACCACAGGCGTGCACCCCCACACCCAGCTAACGTCTTGTACTTTTTGTAGAGCTGGGGTTCAGCCATGTTGCCTAGGCTGGTCTTGAACTCCTGAGCTCAAGGGATCTGCTTGCCTGGGCCTCCCAAAGTGCTGAGATTACAGGCATGAGCCACCACGCCCGGCTGTCATTTTTTCCTTATCTGTGCCACATCTCTAGGAGAAAGACATTTTTAAACCTGTTTTCCAGAGAATAAAGGTTAGAGTGATGGACTAAGATCACATAACTTACAATGTATGGACCCTGTCTGAACTCACAGCCTAACAGGGAGATAAGTGACTATATATTTTAGGGTACAGTATCCACAGTGCAGGAGCAGAGAATGCTGGGGACCAGACAGGGCAAGCAGCTCCCTGTGGCGGAGTGGGGGCTCCCAGGAGCAGGAGCTCCACCTCCCAGGACCCATCACAGGGTCTGCTTAGAGAAGGCCCACATGTCATAAGTCTTAATACATGTTTGCTGACTGTTTGAATATCAGTTCTCAACACTTCACTTGCAAGAAATCTTGCTGTCTGAATTACCATCTTCCAAGAGAAAAATTATAAATGTTTTCTGATTAGTTCTACCATTCATAGCCCATTCCTAAATCAGCACAGGAAACAGCTAAGCTAAAACTTCTGCCTTTTTCTTCCTTTACAATCTGCCTGTATCTTACTCTTTCTTCCTCCAAGTTTTTTCTTAGGCAATGTCTAGACAGTTAAAACAAAACAAAACAAAACAAAACTCTGAATTGTGCTAGAAATAATTTGTCATTCAGGATCCTTTTTTTTTTTTTTTTTTTCCTTTTGGATGAACTGGATTACTCTGAGCTGAGACCAAGGGATGCTCCTCACACCATTGGTGAGATGTCAAAAGGTCCAGGTTGGTTACACTGAGTCAGACAAAGGCTGTTGTAGACTCCTGTTCTAATTAGAATACATGCTTAGCATTTTGTACGAGATAACTTTGTCTTCTCTGTATTTATGTTACTTTGAAGGCTGTACCTACCAATGTTTGGCAGTGACAATACTTGTGTGTTACCTATGCATGACATTCAGTTCTGTGGCAGTCTGTCTCCTCCTCACCCCCCAGAACTGAATACCATGCACCTGTCACACACAAGTTATTGTCATTGTTCAGGCCCCATTATCCCTTGGTGAGACTCTTGCAGTAGTCTGCTGACAGATCCCTCTGCTACCAGCCTTTCCCAATGAAGTACAACTTCCATATCTGCTGCCCTAGTGATCTTTCCAAAATGGACATCTGATCATGCCCACCTCTCCCCCACCAACCTGCCTTCTTCCACGTCCCCACAGGACATGTCCTGAGTACTCAGTGAATCCTGGTTAATAAAATAAGGTGGAATGATAGATCCATGCTGCTCATCAGTGACCTCAAGAAAGTAACCCTATGGGTAACAGTCATGGTGCCAGGCACTGCAGCAAGAGTTTTATGTGCCTTTAAATGCTCCTCCTATTATCTTCATCATTTTAAAGGGGAGGATACGAAAGTTTACAGAGGTCAGGTAACTTTCCCCGGGCCCTACAGTTGGGATAGAAACCTGGGCAGTTTGACTCCAGAGGGCGCTAACTACTCTGCACCGCTGACTTCATCAATGAGTCACTCACTGGGGTTGCCTACAGGAAAGGTAAATCTCATTGCTGAGCACAGGCAATGTCCTTCCTTAGCCCTGCATAAGAACATGCTTTCCCCTACAGGCTCAGCACCTCCCGAGTTGCACTGATGCAGACCTGAGGGCAGGCCCTCACCTCGGAGCCCCTGCCCTGCTATAGTGGGGTCAGGTAGAATCTGTGTTGCCTTAAACTCTGTCTCTTGTATGATAGGAGTAGCCCCGGGCTCCTGTGGGGCCTGAGCTGGGCATACCCCAAGCCCCAGGTGTATGCCAGAGTTACTGGCTTCTTCTGAGCATCAGCCTTTACTTCTGAGCATCGGCCAATGTGACTCCACCTTCTTGGAGGAGCACCATTCTCTTGCCCGGGTGCTTCGGCCCCTCCCTCACAGGCTGGGGCCCATGCTCCTCACCCCAGGTTGCTGTCAAAGTCCTCCTTTGAATTAGAGGAGCTTCTGGGAACACAGAGCTCATCTCTTTGTCCAGCTGTGGGGTCTTCTGCATGCCAGCCCTTTTGGCTGGGCTTCCTCCCCGACCTGAGGAATTGAGCAGGCAATGCTCGGTGAGACCCAGCCTTCAGAGGTTCTACCCCAAGAGGCTTCATGGTTCTGCTGTGCCCTGACCCAGCTCCCTGCCTGCTCCCTCCGGCTGAGATCAGCCATGCTCTGTCATCCAGTCTAGGGATGACAATAAGGCTGAAATAAAGCTTCCATCTTGGCATGTGGATACAAAGCTAGAGACATCAAAGATTATTTGATAACAAATTCCAGGTAAATAATAGTAATAGCCTCTTTTCCCCTGTGTCCTCAACACCCGAATCTTAGGAGCTCCCAGAAGGGCACCTACAGGATATGATGTTCCCATATCGATTCTTATTGCGGTTTTCATCCTCCTTGGCTGTGTCCCACGAAGCTGTCTGCCCCTCTGGTAAGGCCTAAAAAGCAAGGACAGAGTGGTTAGAGTGGCCTGAGATAGGAGCTTTATGGAAGTGGAGATGAACCAACAGGGGGAAGTGAGACCCAGTGCGATGGGACTCCTAGTGGAAAGGGCTAGATGTCCTTGGATGGGGCCTGGGGAGGACGTAGATTTTGGTCTTTCCATGGACCAATTCTCTTGTTCATTGTTTCAAATGTTATTGATGTCTTCTGTGTCATGAGTTCACAATCTAGCCCAGTAGGGGAATCGCTTGTCCATTCATTGAATTATTCATTCATACACTCAACAGATACTTATTGAGCCCCTAACATGGGCTGGGCACTGTTTTAGGTACTAGGGATACAGAGAAACAGACAAGTTCCCCTTGAGCTTCCAGTCAACTAGGATATGTAGCAAATGAAAAAGTAAATGTGTAATTTTAGATATGAAAAATGCTATGATGAAAATAAAGCAGGATAAAGGGATAGTGATGAGGAATGAGAATTATTTCAGATTATACACTCTGGGAGGGCTCCTCCAAGAAGGTGACATTTAAGTTACAGTAGTCCTCACTTATCCTTGGAGGATTTGCTCCTAGACCCCCCAGTGGGGACCCCTGAAACCATGGATATTACCGAACCCTATATATACTATGTTTTCTCTTATACATACATACCTGTGATAAAGTTCAATTTATAAATTAGGCATAGCAAGAGATTAAGAACAACAATAGAATGACAACAATATACTATAAGTTATGTAAATGCAGTCTTTCTCTCTCTCTCCAAATATCTTAATATTTTTTGACTGCAATTGACCTTGGGTAACTGAAACCATGAAAAGCAAAACTGCAGATAAGGGGGACTTCATTAATGATAGATACTATAATTCCTTAATATGAAAGAGCCAGTCACACCAAGAAAAGTAGAAAGTGCTTTTCAGGCAGAGGGAACAGCAGGTGCAAAGATGGTCAGGCAGCAACCAAATGACCATATTCAAGGACTGGAGTGATGTGAAGAGGGGAGAATTAGTGATGGTAGTATCTAGAGTGGATGGGGGAGTCCAGATTATATAAGGCATTGCTATTACTGGTTAATTAATTGGGCATTATTCTAAGTATGATGAAAAATCATCAGAGGGTTTTGGGCAGGGGAATCATCTGATCTGACTCATGTATTTCAAAGTACAATCTGGCTCATGTATGGAACACAGGCTCTGGGAGGGCCATAGAGGAAGCAGGGAGATCTGCTAGAAAGTTGTGGCAGTACTCCAGGCAACACATGATGATACCTTGGACTCTTAGACAAGGGTGGTGGTGGTGGTGGACGTGTGAGAAGTGATTATTTGCAGGATGTTCAGTTGAATATTGTTGACTTGGGTTGCCTCGGAAGCAGACTCAGAGATAAGAAGTCAGGCACAAGTAGTTTGTTTGGGAGGCAATCCCAGGGAGTTTGGGTGGGAGAATGGGGAAGTGGTACAATCAAGGGAATGAAGTTGATATAGGGCACATCAATGAGCAGGTTACCACTGTGGGCAACTGGGGCTTAATCCAGTGGGCACATCTCATGCCTCACAGCTATCCCACCATGGGGGTGGTGCAAAGTTGGGGTAGTTATTGATGAGTTCTCATCCAGTATTGGTTGAGGACAACTCTTGGAAACTCCCCAGCACTTCTTCCATGCTCTATGGGCAGAGTGTGCATATTCTTCTGTCTTGAAGAAGCCCTCAGGCAAAAAGTCACAGGTGCTTACAGGAGGAAACCATTAGGTGGGCATGCATGGGAACAGTGAGTGTAGACTGGATGTGTGCAGGGCACCAACACATCTGCCATAGATGCCGACTGTGAAGGAAAGGGAGGAATGAAGGCTGACCCTCAGAACGTTGAAGAACTGAGTGGAAAGAGATGTTATTTATTGAGATGGAGAAGCCTGGGTTAGAAACAGGATTGGGGAGGTAAGAATTAAGTGTTGTATTTTGGGTAAAGTGCTTAGAAGAGTGCCTAGCATTGAATACTGCATACTTTTTAAAAAATATGTTCAAAATAACAAATAATGGCAGCCACATTTGAGATGCCTATTAGATATCCAAGCTGATGTTGAATAGGCAGTTGGACACAGACACCCAGAGCTTAGGGGTAGGGAGGAGAGAAAAGTCATCAGTCAGTTTAAGAGGATGGCAACCACCGATAAGACAGACAAGTCAACAAACATGAGACAATTTGCAAGAGTTATGAGCCAAGTGGTATGGAAATACAGGGAAGGGTACAGTCAGTTATTTCATAGAGAGGGAGGACGGGCAGTTAAGGGCGTGGAAACAGCTGTAGAAAAGCTGCAGAAGCATGATGATCAGACCGTGTTTTGATTACTGTCTCTACTCTACCTTTAGTAGTATAGGCTGAACATCCTGCTCACACCCTTACATTGCTTCTGTGACTGAATTTGTAACACCTTCAGTCTACACAGCTCTCTGTCAGCAGTGCAGGAGAACCCACCATTCATCTTAATACACCAGCCTTGCCTTTGCCCATCTATTCCTTACTAGGTCCATCCTAAGCAAGGAAGAACCTGTAACCAGGTTGATCCGAAATTCAGCCCCTCAATAAGCCCTATTTTATTGGCAGGTTCTGAACAGGCCAGTGCTCACACACGGTTCCACCTGTCTTGCATCTGGTCTGTCAAGTGTTAAATCAACCTGAGTGAGTCTTTTCCTAGAGTGGGAGTTGGAATGCTTTTTCTGTAATGGGCAAACTAGAAAGCAGTTTGGGCTTTGTGAGTTGTGTGGACTCTGTTGCAACAACTCAAACTTATACTCAACTCTACTGTTGTAGAGTGAAAACAGTCACAGATAAAAAGCAAACAAATGGCCATGGCTGTGTTCCAATACATCTTTATTTACAAAAATTGGCGTTGGGACCGGGTGCAGTGGCTCATGCCTGTAATCCCAGCACTTTGGGAGGCTGAGGCGGGCAGATCACAAGGTCAGCAGTTGAAGACCAGCCTGGCCAATGTGGTGAAACCCCGTCTGTACTAAATATACAAAAATTAGCCGGGCATGGTGACACATGTCTGTAGTCCCAGCTACTTAGGAAATTGAGGCAAAAGAATTGCTTGAACCCAGGAGGTGGAGGTTGTAGTGAGCCAAGATCACGCCATTGCACTCCAGCCTAGGCAACAGTGAGACTTTGTCCCAATAAATAATTAGATAGATAGATAGATAGATAGATAGATAGATAGATAGATAGATAGATAGATAGGTGTTGGGCTAGATTTAGCCTATGGCTATAGCTTGCTGACCTTTATTATAGAAGCATGACTATGATCCTCATCCATGCAGTGGTTGAGTAGGTGGAATTCGTGCTCATTCTGCTACCTAGCAACTTCAGATTCATTAGAGGGTACAGGAAGGAGTTCTTTGCCTGGGCTTCTCAGGCTGAGCCATGTTCTACAACTTAGCCTTTCTTAGGTTTTAGACTGTGGTAATAAAGTGCCTTCCTAGCTATTAATGGGTCATAATTTTGTTCTTTCTATATCCAATGTCATTAGACAAACATCCTGGAAGAGAATCAAAACAGGTGCTAGGCTTTGGGCATCAATCTCTGACCTAAATCTGGGTAGGGCAAAAATGTTATAAGGATAAGTAAGTGCTCATTTTACAAATGTGGGGCTTATGTCTCACTTTTCTCCCTTGTTCTTTCTCCTCCTTTTCCTGTTTCTCTTCTTGCTCCTCATTCTACCAAACCTTACACCCATCCTGCCACCAATTTAGGCCATCTCTAGGTGGAAGATGCTTCTAGGTACTGCAGGTAACTCTTAGAACTCAGATTCCAGCCCTAGCCTTCTCCTCTATCCCAGCCAGGTAGCTCCAGCTCCTCCAGGCAACTTGCCAGGTCTGTTCTCTGTATGTGAAGGGAGGTTGTTGCTTTCAGTGTTAGCACTGGATTTCTGGATGTCGAAGATGATCTACTGAGGGTGGATTTTGCACTTGAAACCCTCTGTGATAAAAGCCAATTGTTCATCCAAACATGTCCCCCTGAAAGTGGGGTGAAGCCAAAAGCAGGACAGCATGACTGTTTTCATACTGATTTTTTGAAAAAAGAATTGTGTTGAGTACTTGCCATGTGCCAGGGTTTGGGTTACCGTTATCTTAAGGTCTCTTTATGACTGCACATTAGAATCACCTGGGGAGGCTTTATGACTCCCAAAGCCAAGGTCCGCCCCAAGACCAATGAAGTCAGACTCTCTGGGGTGGAGCACAGGCATTGGTAGTGTTTAAATCTCCCCAGCTGATGCTGCTATGCAGCCATAATTTTTGCAAATAGTGACTTTAAAATACTTCCCTATGAGTCTCCTCATTGGTTTCTTTTGTTTTGGGTTTGTCCCCTCCAATCCATTCTCCACTGTAGTCAGAGAGATCTTTCTAAAATGTGAATAGGACCCAGTGACTCCTCTTGCCATTGCCTTCAGGATACATTTCAAACCCTTTAGTGCAACGTCCTTAACGACTTCACCCCAAATGCCCCTGCAGCCTCAATTCTTGTCCTTACATCTATATTGCCAGTTATAAGGTGTTTAAAGTTTATAAGACTTTTTACATGCTGTTCCCTTTGCCTGAAAGTCCCTTCCATCTGAGTCCCTCTGACAAACTCCTACATATCCTTCAAAACTCAGTGTAAGCATCTTCTTTGTGGAATCTTCTCTGTTCACTCTCCCTCACCCCACTGCATCCCCAGGTAAAGCCAGTTACTTCTATTATTAGATGGACTTCTTTGCATCTCATAATTTAACTCTGTTTCTCAACTTGGCCATGGGCTTCTCCAGGGAAAGGGCAGCATCTTTGTCACGACAGTATCTCCAGAACGTGATGCTGGCTCTATACTTCAGATGTGCTTGAAAGACCTCTTTAGGATGAATGAATGAGTGAAATAATTAGTGAATGAGGTGGCTTCTGTGCTTTCAGAGGGCAAATATCCTGGGATCTTAGAGGTGTCGGTGACCTTGAAAATGGCCTAGTTGAGTTCCC